ATAATTGCCTTTTGGACGGAACTGCCAAATGTAAAAATTTGGTTGGGTCATTCAAATGTCTGTGCCTCAAAGGATATATTGGAGATGGTGTCACTTCGTGCGTCGGTAAGATAACATCCATCAGTCCGATGGGGATAGTTTATTTTAATTTAATGGGGTCGTGGGATTGACACGGGGGGGGGCATGGTAAAACGTCATTTGGTACTTTTTAAATACACCGATGACAAAACAAGACAAGGGAACAACAATACATTCGATCTTGGCGTTCAGTATAACAGAACACCAACACAAGAATTAAAAGCGCGATACGGCCTGTCAACGGTCGCGAATTTAAGTGAAATACTGTGTATGTGTTATATACAATAGGCTATACACAGAACAGCAATTTAGAAACACAAACCGAATTTTACGGGGAGATTTATAGATGGGTTAAGCAGCGGTTACAAACGACCTATAATTACCGTGCATTAGTTTGAATGTTAAATGCCTAATATTATTAACGTCTATTGACATATTATCGAGTCGTAATATAATTGTTCACAGAATTTATCGAAAATATCATTTTCACTGAAATACTGGTACAATCATAATAATTCCTGTATTTATTTTATGATCGTCCCAATGTCAACTAGTTTCCTATTGGATTGCCCCATTGCAACGCATAGTGATGAGTTGTCTGTGAAATGTGGGCAGCCACCATTAATTAGGCCATTGAAGACGGCTGCAATGTGCAGTGTGGTTTGTGTAGAAACTTTCTAAGCGATGTTGTTTTGTGAGTTTGGAAACTGTTGCTCTCAGAGAGTACAGAAAACGTTCTGAAACTTCTGGAACTAGGATTAATACTTCAACGGTTTAAAAAAAGGGGCATTCAACCCAGGAAATTTAGACAATTCTTCTTTTCGCGGCTGTTTTACTCAAAGGTTTTTCTACTGAGCGAGCTGCTTACCCAATTGTTGTCAAATTAATTAAATATTATTAATTTATTAATCAGATGTTTAATTAATTATTAATTTATTAATCAGATGTTGACGAGTGTGCAGATAACACCCATACATGCGATGCAAACGCTGAATGCACCAATAATGTCGGGGCGTATAGCTGCTCATGCTCGGCTGGTTTCCACGGCGACGGATTTACATGTGACGACGATGACGAATGCGCCGATGGAACTGACAATTGCCACAATGACGGGCACTGTATCAACACCGAGGGTTCGTTTACATGCCAGTGTAATGTGGGATACGTCGGTGATGGAGTCAATGCGTGTGATGGTAAGCATGGATTAAATATAAATAACAGTTATCGAAATTAATTTCGGAAATATTAGGACAACATTATTCAATTATTTGAACATACTCCCTAATCTTGATCGGAAATTTGGTCAACGTAATTCATAAATTCTCATGTATGATTTCATGGTGAATGATTTCTTTTGACCCCGATAAATTTCATAATAATAAAATAAAATTCAATCGTTTCTGAAATTAGTTTGTTTGTTTGCCCGATTTATCAATCGTCTCGAATATGCATTACGTTTTAGCGGCGGACGACTACAGTTTCAAACCATGGTGACACGCCGTTAGGTCGCCTTTCTCACAGTTACATCACAGATATAATCATACACGCCGTTAGAGGGCTAAACACATAGCAGGGATTCGTTGCGCATTATATATCGCTAACAACTTTATGAGTTTCACACTTTTTCCAACAGATATTGATGAATGTGCCGATTCAGGTGATAACGCGTGCAGTCAGCGTGCAGAGTGCGTAAACACAATTGGCTCCTACATCTGCACATGCGTAGAAGGATATACCGGTAACGGAGAAGTTTGCGAAGGTAATGACAAACATGCTACCTGAATAGTACATTGATTATGCTAATTATTGTTCATGTGAACATTATTTACTGTAGATGTGCAGCTAGAAATAGTAACCAATTGTCGCAATGAGTAATGATTTGCAACTTCCGGCTAGAACCGGAAATGAGACGATCACGAAACTTGTTTTTGCCCCCTTGACTAAAATTTAGACAAGCGTTATCGCGTCCACGTTATCTTACCACGGAGACCTGGTATTTATATCAGCGGACGCGACTGCGTTAGTGAATGGAAAATTATGGAGGGGGGGGGGGGGGTAAGTCTCGCTCTTAACAAGAACTGGGAGACCGTTTGTGAATAAAGTCTATCATTTATTTATGATTACCTCGTAGCGTTGAATCTTGATTAACATAGCGGCCATTTTCTTCAGACTATTATACAACCAGTTACAGAGAATAACATTTCAAGACATCCCTTTGTCATATGTGTTTTAGGCACCTCAGCCACTGGCATTAACCACCATCATCCGGGTGTCGTAAATAGATTTTCGTTTACGACGACTGGTGTGATTCTTGTATCATTAACCACCATCATCGGGTGTCGTAAATAGGTTTTCGTTTACGACGACTCGTATGATTTTTGTATCATTAACCACCATCATCGAGGTGCCGTAAATAGGTTTTCGTTTACGACGACTGGTGTGATTTTTGTATCATTAACCACCATCATCGGGGTGCCGTAAATAGATTTTCGTTTACGACGACTCGTATGATTTTTGTATCATTAACCACCATCATCGGGTGCCGTAAATAGGTTTTTACGGCGACTGGGCTGATTTATGATTTTTGTACGCACCTTGTTTTGCAGTAACTGACGGAGGCACCAACAATTGTGATGAGGATCCCAGTCATTATTGCGGTGATGGAGGGGATTGTGTCGAGCTACAACCAAACATCAATACATGTATTTGTAATGAAGGTTTTCACCATGTACAAACACCACCAGAATGCATAGGTAATTATATTAATATTTATGTTATCCTCGGGGGCGGACATCCGGGTATATTCACCTCCTGGCAACCATCACCGTAAAAACAAAAGCCGATGAATCTAACAAAATGTACTTTTGGATAGTTGTCGATATTCTCCGGAACAGTGCAGCAAGAATATCCCTGCATGTGCAACATGAATAAACT